CCACTGCAACACGCAACATCCCCACCTCCAATCCATCCATCAGCCCACCGGCAGACCGACAACTCGTCACATGATCATGCAGAGCCATCTTCAAGCGTCCACGCAAAGTGAGGGACAAAGTCAGTACCGTCCAATTAGCTGCTTTACTTTTAACAATCTAGAATTATTTCTTCGGTAGCTCCAATTTATTCATTATGGTTAAATTCGGTAAAAGATGGCAAATTAAGTTCATTTACTTCACTTAGTTCCATTATTTTTGCCAAGTTGTTCGAATGGAGTTATTTCCAATTATTTGAATCGTTTTATTTCTCTTCAAAAAAATCACAGACAAACTGCTGTCGACAAAATGTTTCTCTCTACTCTATTCAACGGTTTTAACTGAAAACGATTAATAAGATTGTTTTTTTTTATGTTTTATCTCACGTGTATGCAATAACATTCCCCATATGTACGTTTTTAAAATGGCAAAATTAGGTCAACAAGCGCCTTTTCTGATTGGTTTAGATGGGCAATTGACTTATTATAGGCAACCAATCACATACAAGCTGTAGCAGGTTTCATGAGCTTCCATATGCCACTGCCACGCCCTAACGTCTGCACCTCAACTGCCTAAATCGCCCTTTTCACTTATAATGTCCACATTTATTCTGGTAACAGTGCCTCTTGATTCCCCTAGTTCATATTCTCTCCCAGTTGTCCGTTGGGGGTGACCAGTAGTTGAAGAAATGTCAAGAGAACTCGGGGACAGAATTCCGCTGCTCCGCTCTAAAGAATAAATCCCCTTCACCCCTTCCACGTAGGTTTTGCGTGGTGAGGTCTAGTTCTAACTACATCTAAGAAGACTGCTTTCTTCCACATTGTTTGTGATTGCTTTTCCTTCAAGTAAGCTTCACAATACAAAGCAGACGTGGTCTCCTTGAGTTAAAGTGGTTGATGTCTTTGAAGTGAAGAAGCTATGAGAGTCTCGTCAACCTAACGGATGCTGGAGCAAAAAGAGCAAGTCATTCAGTCGATCGGTGTCATTTTAGGGCCCTTGGGAGTCTATTAACAACCCCTCCTCCCGTTTCCTTTGGCGCCATCACAACCTCTGCTGTTGTTGTAAGTGGAACTAACTTTTTTACAGCTGATGCTGAACACTACTGAAAGGTTTTGTTACGTTGCCCTGCTGCTGTGGAACCTTCACCAATTTTTGGGAGGAACAGGTAGGCACAAATCACACCAGTCATTGTGTGATAAGAAGGTTCAAAGGAAGGGTCGGGAAACAGTAAGGAATACAAAAAAAGTTTCATATTGATGGACTGATTCCAGTGTGTCTGCGTACTCTGCGATTAGACCTTCACGATAACGGTATAGGACTTCACTAGTGCAAGCAGTCTTCTACCTAAGTCCGGGAGCAATCCTAGACTTCTTCAAGAAGAATGGTTATAAGCCACAACGCGACAACCTACTCGACAATCTCAAACCTTCAAATGCCAGAAATGGGTTCAATTGCTTTTGTGAAAAATAAAAGTGTACTTGATTAAATTGTGAGCGTAAATCCGTCAGAGCGGAGTGCATGCAAACCGACATAGGTGATTTTAAAGTGGCGGGTGGGTTGCAAGTAGTTGACATGCTTGAACACAGCCCAACTGCCATCATGCGAGCTACTTCAGCAACCATGACAAGACACGTACCAACACGTCGGTGCGGTAACCACCGTGGCCGCATTGATCACAGCACCCGCCGGCCTAATTTGCATAAGGAGCGCACATGCACACAGACACACATGAACCCCTAATCTGCAATTTAAATTTGCAGCCCTTTCCTTTCTCTCTCCCCCTCCCTCGGCTTTTGTTCATTTCTCCGAGGTGCTAAAACGGGAAGTGGAGAAAGGTTTTTTTTAATAAAAAGCTGCTGCATTATCCCCAGAGAGCGAGAGAGCAGGGGAAGAGAGCGAGATGACTAAACATGCGTCTATGTACAGAGAGATATGGCATCGAGGAATAAAAAAGATATGCAACATCGACGGGCCTAGATGCGCATGGGTATGATGCGTTTCTTGGATCTTCGCTTCAGTTTCAGGAGGGTGAAGAGGTTATCGACCTCCGTTTGGACAGAGGGAACGGATAGGTGGGGTGCGGTCACTGGCACCTCATTCGACGCGGCAGTTGTCTTAGCTGTAGAAAGAGGGAGAGAGAAATTGGATTTAAAAATAAAGAGCGCAGTCCTTGGCCTCTCTCTGACACACACACAACTCACAAGCTAGTCGTGCCCTAAGAGCGGTTACAATTTCTGGATCCTCGATGAGCCTTTTGAAGAGATGTATGGTGTCAATGAGAAGGGTCTCCAGATCTTCTACAGTGTTGATCTTCTCCTATAAAAATTAAAATGTACCCACACGTTTATAATCCAAAAGGGGTAGGGGCGAGCGGTTGGGCAACTCACAGGAACCGTAGTTGAGCTAACGGGGGGTACGAGTCGTCGCATGGTAGTGATCGTCTGGTCCAAATGGGCGATATCCGCAAATCGAAGGCGTCCAGGTTGGCTGGAGGCCCGTATGATGTGCAGAGCTCGTGCCTGTCTTGACATGGGGGAGAGGTTGGGCTGAAAATTGAGATCGACAATCAAATTCGTAATCGTAATCGACGAACAGGTTGCCGTGATATGCGAGAGCAACAACATTCCCATAAAGTTTCACCTTTAGTTGCTAGCAGAATTTCGTACTTCAGCGGCTGAGAAACTCAGGGATGAAACATTTTCTAGTTACCAGGACGATCGTGACTAAAATGGCGTCCGGGCCTCGTTTCAAACCAGACTAATGCCCAACCGCCAGCCACCTCAATACTTGGTCAGTCTTCTCCCCTCTCGAGGAAGGGGACCAGATTTTGATGTTAGCAACCAGTGCTTACACACACCCCATTGTTCCGTGACGTGTGCCTTTGTTTGCCGCTATGGTCAGATTGGTTGCCGCCCCGACAACAACGCCAGATGCTGTCTGTGTAAAGCTGAATGCGACTGGTGTCGATGTTGTCCATGTTGCCATGGCACTTCTCTGGGGCATGAAAATGCGCGTTAGTAGACGGGTAGAGGCGATGCGATTTTAGAGGAAAGGGGACTGAGTCACTCGCACGGCCGCATGCGCACAGAATACCCAACGTCTCCGTCCACCCGCTCGCCCATCTATATGCGTAGTTGACAAAACAGGTTGAACTGAATTTCATCCGCATCAGATGCGCCAGTTTATTGATGCCTTCCCCACCTCTTTCTCAGCCGGGGGCGCCCCGACATCATGGCAACAGGAAACCGACAGGTCAAAAAAGAAATGTGCTGGTACAGCACGGTGAAGTGGACATAAATTTGATGAAAAAAAGAGGTGAAGGAAGGGAGGAAACAACATCCCACACTACCACTGATCACGTGGTTGCTATGGCGGCTACGTCATCACCTGTGGTGGATACGTTAAGACGTGCTTCTTTTCACTGTCAGACTGGAAATTAGTGAAGTATGTGTTCTGATATAAATCGGCTTGTGTATTCAATTGTGTGGGGCTTTTTTGGTCTTATGGGATTCGACTTCAACGACGGTGCGAAGTCCCGTCCATGCTACTTGAGCTGCCAATCCTTCCACCTTTGCAATAAAACTACTTTGAGGGATAATTCGAACACCACGGAAATCGGAATAAAGACTCCAAAAATCGCTTTTACGAGATACTGACCTTATACGCGAACAGAAGGGATACAACCAAAACGGAAAGAGTGACTAGGTGAGGCTTAAGAAGTAATTTTGAAAGGATAAAAACGCACTTGTTACAATATAATATCAAATAAACGCCTTGCTAAGCTACACATTCGTTCACTGGGCAACGGATCAACATCAAAGGAAAAGTGGGATAGGGATCTGGCGTAGTTACTAAAGTCACGTGTTTTAATGGCCCCCAGACGGGGTCCGAAAGTGGGACGGTAGTCCGGGGCCCTGTGCACACACCTTTAATAAGGAATTAGAGGCCTTAATCACAAAACCCCTGATAATTACTTGACTATCTTGTGTTTATTGGAAGTGTGCAAGTTTCAAATGGCGGGACGAGTGAACGGCTTACTAACGAACTGTTGATTAAGGCAAAAAAGGTAATTCGCCCGAGAAAAAGTGGAAGCCTTGAAGAGTGGCCAACCCACCAACCCTCTCCACACGAAATAAAAGTTGTGGTAAACAAAGTACTGAAATTAAAAGTTACCGTAAAATTCATGCTACCTTTTCTCCTGTAATGAGCAAAAGGATTTCCTTAGAAGCTGTCTCATTAAACATTATACAATGTCAGTAAGAATCTTAAAAAAAGAATTGAAACGGCAGAGAATTCAAAGCCAATGACAGAAGCAAAATTGAGAATCAAATTTTAAGGTCAAAAATTCTTTCAACGCTCGGAGGAAACAGTGACCCGGTCCGGGTCTCACCCGCAAATGCCTCTGACGGGCTGAGTAGTTGGGAGTACAAATGAGCTCTAGATCGAGTGGAGAGTACTTATAAAGTTCCATGGTGCTTCTTTCCTGACCTCATTATGAATTCTAAAGAGAAGAATTACAAAATGTATACCCATACTTTAGCAGCCCAATTATTCGTCAAGTCAGGATTTCGCACTGAGGTCTCTCTACCGGATCATTGGAAATGCTCTAAAGGCTTGTCACTTGCACCAATGGAATGATCACCCTAAATGATTTCAGTCTGTAGTCTGCAAATTCGTGGATGGGACCGCCATTCTAGAATTTCGATGCATAGCACTGCTTGGGTGAGGGAAACTTGATGAGGGACACGCCACCTACGGTGATGGTGCATTATTCATCTTAATGGACTACCAATTGCTGTGCCCTTCGGACGGATATCGCAAGGGAATTCCAAGCGGCCTGTCAACCGATTGACAAAGCTGTCAGTTTAGCCAAAATAATCCTTATAGAAACGGAATTGCAAAAATGTAGAAATCCTCCAAAGGAGTCCCACTGGGAGATAGAATGATTTGGAGGTATAGTGCCTCAGAGAACTTCACAAGCTCGCTACCAGTGGCCTCCATTTGGAGACGGACCCAGGCACCCAAGTACATTAAAGATTTGTGTACCCATCTGACGGATATCACAGCGCCTGCGGCGGTGGCATATGCTTACCGAACCATCAGCACAGGGTCCACAAACCATCTGTCGCAGTGGGGTGTGTGTGTGTGGGTGGGTGATAGGCATCACTCGCTTACGAACGAGTGCAGGGGAGAGGAGGCAGGGCAAGGCAATGGGGAAACACGTGTCGCCCGCATGCACGTGATGCTCGGCCAAGCGGGCACACTGTCCCACACATAAAGCAGGACAGGTGCCACCCCATCTGAGTCAGCGCACCTCCACTGCGTCCCTGATTTCCTTTTCCCCTGCCTTCTTGCAGCCCCTCCAGTGTGTGATTAACAATCCGTTTTACACAGAACAGGAATTCTGGTGAATGAAGGACAGTGATCGGAGTTTAGCCTGGCTAGTCATGATGAATTTGAGAAAAGAAATTAACTAGTTATCTTGCTTCGTTGTATGTCTCTCCCCTCACATTCTGTAAGCATTCATTCGGTGTGGAACAGTTTTTTCGGAAATAAAACAGAAAGTTAGGATAAAATTTGAAGCTCCCCTTGGAAGGGAATGTCCTATTCGGATGTCTATTCCATGTCACAAAGTAAAATGGTATAAAATGGTGTAAAATGGTATTTTAGACTCTTCATACATAACATGAAACTTCTACTCCATGAATGCTACGAAAGATTTGGTATTGGATGGGAAAATAACATCATGGTAAAACTTAGTCAAACTGTCCCCTGGGAAGTGACAAAAAAGGCTTTACAACAACTCCGTCGTACCCATAAAAATTGCGTCAGTCCATTACATCTACCCTCCTTCCTCACTTAATAAACTGGTTCTCAAAAGTAAAGTGAATAGACACTAAAACTGATTAAAATGGAGCCTTCATATTTGTGTTTCTCATCTCCTCCTGTGAGATGGAGCATTACGACCTAGGAGAAGGTTTTTGGGTCCTAAACTCCTTCTCTTTTAGAGTTCAAAGCAAAATCTGACAGACTAACAACTAAGGTGATAAATGAAGCGTTGATGTAAGAAATGTGAGGAAAAATCATTAACCTCTTATTTCATACAATGAAAAACAGGAATTCTGGTTAATTAACGACCTTGAAGGGGAGTACGCCGCATTAATCACCGATTAATGGGTGGAGAAGTTCCGCAACGAGGGGATCAAGCTTTGGTGAAATAATTTGACAAATCATAGTTAAAATCAAGTTAAAATTACATCTAATCGACACGCTTGGAGATTTGTGCTTTGGTAAAGCGAAGGCTTAGTTCAGTTCATTAGTTCTGCTCTACCGGCTTCAAAAAGTACTCCTTCGTTCAATTGAACTAGGAGGAGTAACGCCCACTAAGTTTGCCATTAGTTAGCGGATAAATACATTGGTAATTTTACTATTCCAGACTAATTTTCCGTGAAAAGCGGGGATTTCAGTAAAAAAATTTAAGCAAAACTATAAATTTGTAGCAAATTTTATGCACAATGTAAAAAAAAAAACAAGTTCAGGTAACTCCTGAAATGGGATTTTAAGGTGACAAAAGACGATGCTTTTCAATTTTATCTGAGACATTACTAGGCCATAAATGAATTCGAAAAAATAAATTAGCTAATGAATCCCTCAAAATCACAAATTTTATTAACTTCTAGAGGCCTAACAATTTCATCAACTACAGCAATACCCTTAATTAGAACATTTAATTTCTAGCATAAAAAGGAGAATATTAGCTAATACCCTAAGAAGAAGTTATTTATTAGTTGGAAAATGGGCATAAAAGAGACAGAGGCATACCGATGACGGCATTGGTAATGTCAGTGATAACTTTCCTGGGCAGTGGATAAGCGTCCGCAACAGACCACGCGACTGATCAAATGAGGCCACGCGCGAGTGCGCGTAGCCAAAGCCCACTAATCCGCTGCAAGGAGGGCCCAGCAGCCAATAGGCTAAGGGCGCACGTGTCTGCAGGAGAAACGGATTGGTTTGCTGCACACGTACGTACGCACACATTTGCTCCATATTGCATTAATTTTTCCCTCCCCCTTAACCTCCCCTCCGCCTCGTGGGTGCACGCGCACGTATGGGATGAGTCATCGCTATTCGCCATGGGTGTGCGCAATGTGGGGCGAGGGTGGGGTCCCATCAAATCAATGCAAGAGGGAGTAGCGACATGGGAATATGTGGGAAAGGGGCGTGGGGAGGGAGGGGTGATAAAAGAGGGCATACATTTCTTTTTTGGATGTGATGGGAGAGTCAGGTGCGCTGCTACCTAGGAATTTGTCATCTTCCCTGGGACCGGGCTTAAATGATGATGAGAAGCGCGCCTGTGGAATTTTTGAGTTGGAAAGGGTAATAAATTGGTGTATTTTCCAGGCAAGATAAGCGCTTCAGAAAAGAGGGGAAACTTTGTGTTTTAAGATTCTTTAGGGAGTTTTAAGTAAAGTTTTTGTCACAAATAATCCAAATGGACAGAAAAGGGGAATTTCGACTCCTTTTTTATGCCGTACTACACTCCATCAATTCATCTCAGTAATTATTCCTATTTTATTCAATTGGCGAAGGTAGCAGATAGTCGGATCTAACTCCCTTGATGGAATAGTCTTATCGCATTTCCAGTGTGGGATTGAGACGTTTCTGTGATCAAGACTACGAAGTGGTTATGGATAATTTATCATCAAGGCATTACTCGTAATGTTCGTTCCTCTACCATGAATTACGACAGTGCTTACTATCATCACAAAAACTATTTTCCCTTCTCTCTATGAGATTTAGGCTCAATTATGTAAGATCTAATCATCGGTAATTTTAAAAAAATGAGGGTGTTCCAGATACCTCAAAAATATTGAAATTGCCTTAGAAATGAGGAAAATAGCATTTGCATAGAGGATGGAGAGGCTGTGACTTGCATCCTATTGGCCAGATATGGCGCGCCAGCTACCAATCTCAACCAATGAGAAAAGTGACACATTAGGAGTGATGGGAAGAGGGTTATTTTTTGAAGGCTATCAAATTTAGCCAGAAAATCTTTGCACTTTTTAAGGACGAAAAATTAAGAGCTATTGGCCGTATTAAGCTACTCAGCTTTATTTTTATAAAATATAAGGAAACCAATTTGCTAAAATATTTTCAATAATGAACATTGAAAGTGGCAGCTGTAATCATTTAGTCGAAAGCAACATACTTGTGCAGTTTTAAAATGAAATTAATGAAGGCAGATGATTAAAAAGAACTTTGTTAGAATGAAATGTTCGCACGTCATGCGTCATCCTTCGCTGAGGTAGACGTTAAACGAATAATCTGGAGCTATGGAAAAAAATTGGATTAATTTCCTTATTCTAGGGATAAAGAGGCAAATAGGACGGCAATATGTGGACATGTGGAGAGTTGTTAATCGGTGGGCAGAGGGTCAATCAGACGTGAGAAAGATGAGTGTTGCAGTAG